TCCTTGAGTTCCTAGAAACCTGAGAAGGAAAGTATTATATGTGTTTCAGAGCTGGCTGCGGGTGCACGCAGGACCAGTGGGCTACGAGGAAGCATGTGTCAGCATTTGTTATCCAGGAGTGTCTCATCCTTGGGGTGTCCTTCATCACCTGGTGGTTTGCTGTGTCCCTCGGGCCACCAGTTGGTCCTCATTGATTAGGAAAACAGTGCCAGTGAATGAGGTGGTCTATCTGGGTCGCAAAAAAAGAGGCTGTGCCACAACTTGCCATTTTCAATAAATGTCCATTTTTATGTATATATTTTGTCCTTCCAGCTGCCTGTACAAGTCACATTTGTGTGTGTGTATTTAAGGAAGTTACTCAGTAGTTCAGAGCTCCGAGTCCTCTATCTGCCTAAGTAAGCACATGGGCTTCACGGGGTTGTTGTGAGCATTTTACAGGATGTTTGTGGAAACATTTTAAACTGTTAAACGCGATGGCCATGTTGGTCTGCAATCTCTGCGGAAGCTTTCTGGGTGAAATGTGAAACCAGTCTTTGGAAATGGAGGGCAGCGAGAGAGCAAAGAAGGAGGCAGACCTCTTCATAAGCAGCAGGTCTGAAGAGCGAGGGAACCTACCACGCATCTCTCCGCAGCCACGCGAGGAGCAATTTTATGTACCTGCCCACCAGATCTTAAAAGCTGATATACAGGACTTAACTGGGTTAGTCACGAGCCCAGCACAGATGGTCTCGTCACCAGTTACTGTCTCAAGGCTGTGGCCTGGGGCAGCTTCAAGCACTGGGAAGGCCACCCGACAGCACGTTTCAAACACGGGGGTCGGGGGGGGGGGGGAGTGGCGGGGGGGGCGTGGCGCCTGCAGAGTATTACATGCGGGTGGAGATGCAATGGCCGATAAAGTGACTTTTCTTTTCTAACCCCCCCCTGAAAACGATCATTTTCGGTACAGCAGAGTTTTTGTCGTCTTTGTCTTGTGAAGTGCAGTTAGCTCCATGTACTCCCAGTAAGCCTGCCAGGTTGGTAGCTGTGGATCAGATTGGCCGTAGTTTCTGTAAATCCGTGCGGAGCGGGGCTGTGTTAGTGTTGGAACGGCAGAACACTCGCTGATGTTCGCGGCTGCCAAGACTTTGCCACAACTGAAGAATAACCGTGAACTTCAGACTTATACCTGAATTCCTTTACATTTGTTCACTTAAATCTGATCCTTGGAATATTTGTTTTACTCGTTATACCACCTAATTTGCCTAAAATAAATCAGGACCCAGTCAACGCTCAATTCCTGGGGTAACTGGAGTTTCTGGTGTCAAGGGTAGCCCTCACACGTGATCCATCCTGAGTGGCTGCAACGTGTGTGCGTGTGTACTTGGAGACACTTTTAGTTCACCTACACGTGAACGGATTGAATGGCGTGATCTAGTAGGGAATAAGAGGCTTTCTTTATATATCAGTCTTAACTGGAGGAAAAAAACAGGACGGGAAATGAATTTGAGGAATATATTCCGATTTATCACCACAGAAACGTACAGGGTCCGGCACAAATAATGCTCCGTTTCTTATGACAGAATCTTTTATTACAAAACCATAAGCAGATAATTCTGTCACATAACAGTGTCACACTCAAGCACACCATATGGCATTTTAGGTGAAATTTCAAATTAAAACTATAAATTATCACACCCATCTCATTACTGGACCAACCGCACTCAAGCAGGCCTCGCTTCTGCTGGACCCTGTGTATAGTCTCTTTAGAAACTAACCTGCCCTGGCTGGCATAGCTCAGTGGATTGAACGCGGGCTGGGAACCAAAGTGTTCCAGGTTTGATTCCCAGCCAGGGTACATTCCTGGGTTGCAGGCCAGAACCCCCAGCAACCGCACATTGATGTTTCTCTCTCTCTCTATCTCCTTCCCTTCCCTCTCTAAAAATAAATAAATAAAATCTTAAAAAAAAAGTTAAAAAAAAAGGATCTTCTTTAAAAAAAAAAAAAAGAAACTAACCTAAGGTTTTGATGCAACAGTCTCGGGGGACAAGTAAGCGTATGGATGTAGTTGTACACAAGTTAATATCTATTCCGATATTTATTAATTAATGATTCATTGTAAGAGCAAGTGAAAGAACACATGTGAGACAGAAGACAGATTTGATTGTGTCGACTTGATAGTTAGCAATGGTCCTCTGCTCAGAGTCTGTACAGTATTTGATTGTGAATAATGGTTGGGAAACAAAGGTAGGGATGCAGGCAAGGAAAACTTCTGTTTCCTCAATATACTTGTTGAGGGGAATGTTAGGGAGCTCTTACTCTCTTCTTCTCTAGGGTTTTGAACAGAGGGGGCATCACACAAAAAAATGCTAGGCGAGGGGACCCCCTCTACTCTCTTCCTGATCAATGCTTTGGGATCGGGATCTATACCTAGGGCCTCTGCTCACTCACGCACTCAGTCCCCAGCAGAGACATGTGAGGCTGGCTAGCATTTCTGCACCCTAATTCCTACGTGTGGGGGTGCCACCCTGCACCAGCAAGCAGCTCTCAGACACCAGCTGAGGGTTTCAGGCCAGTGAACAGTCAGTGTGAAGGCCCTGAATACCCTCTACGTGACCCAGTACATTTGGGGTGGTCACTAGAAATTGTTATTTCAGGAAATGGGAGAGCATTTTAGATTTCCCACGTACCTCTTTTTGGGAAACACTCACCTAAATCACAGCAAGAATGCCCTCCAAATCTGCCAAAAGTCCTTCAGCCTCTGCTCGAACATGGCCAGTATGGGAGGCCATGAACTCTTTTAGAGGATTCACGCCATAAAACACAACACTTAATTAACTTGTTAATTTATTCAACAAACAACTGTGTAGCCTTCCTACTGTGTTAGGTACCAGGGATGCAAAAACACATGTTCTGAGCCTTCTTGGTTTTTTGTGTATTTATGATTGCAAAATGTATATATTTTTACTTGAGACAGATGAGAACACAGCAGTAAGGAAAAACAAACGTGCTGTTTCTCTTACAGGCAGCAATGCTAATATCTTGGCCTATTTCATTTCATTTTCTCTCTCGCTCCGTATATTGTTCTGTTTTTAAGACAGAAAGCTTGATATCTCTTTTCAACTAATAGTGTATTATAAATATTTGTTTCCACAGTTTTTTCCTACCATGGGCTTTTAAAATAACAGCTTAGTATTCTATTTTACATGTTTCACGTAGATGTAATGTCATGTAGAGTGGCGATTTAGGTTATCTCAAAATGCGTAGTACAAAAATGATGCAGTTGATCTTTTTATAAACTTTTTCCAGCATTTGTAATCATGTAGGTAAATGTCTATAAGAGGAATTTCTGAAATAAAAAATATGTGCTTTTAAGTCTATTTGAATACATTGCCAAATTGCCTCTCTAGAAAGAATGATCCAATTTCCATTCCCATTTCAGCTGTATAAAACTATTCATGCTTTCATACCCTTGGTGATACTGGTATTTCATTCTTTTTATTAAAAAGCCATAATTACTAGAAAATTCTCCCTTGCACTGAGCTCAGTTTTGCCTATTCAGATTTTCAACCTATTGATCTGACTTTTGTCTTCTGGAGCTTTGTGGGGTAAATTCAATCCCCTTTGGTTAAAATGGAATTTCAAATATTTGAAAATAATTATTATGTCTCCACTGGTCTCTGTCCCCAGTTATCTTTCTTTTCTCCAGTAATTACTCCTATAACCCACTTCCTAGGGACTCCACAGTTCTGGTCTCACTGTTCTAGATAAGCCTCAGTCAGGCCAAGTCTTTTTCTTAAAATACGGTGGCAAGGATTAAACCAAGGACTGTCGGTGCAAGAACACTGCCTTTGTTTGCACAGGATACTTCTAGCTTGTGCATGATAGGCAGGCATTAGCTTTTCTTGGCAACTACAGCACACCGTTGGCTCTTAAATGAATAGCAACCAAAACACCAAAGCAATTTTATAAACAATTTCATGGTCCTATCTGGCATCTCAGCAATTCACTGGGGCAGTTGTTTTCGGAGGCCTCAGTGCAGGACTTGAATAAAAATCAGCGCAATCATTAATTCCAACTTGGCAAGTCCTTTTTGATAACTGATTTTATCACTGGATCTGTATCTTCTACCGACTCGATAAGGATATCTCTTGGCTTGCAGTAATGAAGAAACAGACTCGGTGGGGACTGTTGTCGAGCCCTGCCACACCCTAGACTGTTATTGACTCATTAATCAACCTGCTTCAGGCTCCTCGTGTGTGTGTGTGTGTGTGTGTGTGTGTGTGTTCCTGTTGCTAAGGATGTAGAGGAAAACTTTGAAAAATAAACCACAAATGAAATGTTGCATTTTAAACTGCTGAAATCAATATATATTCTTTGTATGGTATTTTTGACCTTCCTGCCTATGATTTTTTTTCAGTATAAATTAGCTTGTCATGACAAGTTGATTGTCTGTGTTGGTTCTTTTGCTTCAACTTTGTTCCAGAATATGGCCAGAGTCAATATCAAGGTCAGCTTGATGTAGCTTCTAGTTTATAACTTCATTTTCCTGTTTTGAAATATTGGACTGTTTGCCCAAATCTCATCTATTGAAACACCTTGCTTTTATGCTAAATTAAGTATTGTCATTGTTGTTTTAACTACCCTAGTGTATAAAATTTGAATCTGATAACTTCTACTAATTTCAAACTAAGACATCATTTTTTTTTTTAACTATCCGCTAGCATCTTTAATTAAGTTTCCTGGAGAGCTATGTTGTTACCTACACTTTCCAATTTGAAAGTCATTCTACTTGATGTAGAAGATGATCTTAAATAAGAGTCAAGGACTTTGTTTTTGCAATATTTGGTAATATGTTATTGATCTTAGTTTGTAGGTTTAAGTCTTCTCATTGTTAAAAACTAGACCCAATCATGAGATTAGATGGATCATAAGTCTAAATTAATTCCTGCGTAATTCCATATAAGGTGGTGATGAGTAAGGTAGATAAAAGTACATTTTCTTTCTCTTTTTTTCAGAGTTCATGTCAGATGGGTAATGTGCTGCAATCGTAACGAGGTTTGTGGGAAACATATGTCACACAAGAGCGTGAACACCCAACCATCACACTTATGAACTAGAAAAGGATTGAAAGTACATTTTCTTAAGAACAATAAATATATGTGTGTATATGAGAAAAACTTCCACCATTTGTATGTAAGGGTCATCATAAAATAAAACAATGTGATATTTGAGTATAGTCTCTTTACTAGGGCTGACCGCCCATCCCCACTTTGGGGACACTGGGGGATTTCCCACGATGCAGAACTCTCAGAGCCTAAAACGGGAAAGTTCTTGATAAACTGGGATAATTTGGTCATCTTATATTTCTCCTAATTCTCCACAGAGGACCCTCCCGCCCCCCCACTTTTAAACCTAAAATGGTTGACTATTTTCCAATTCTTATATGACCGGTTTTTCTTCGCTCAATTTTATTTTTTACAGATTTCAGATATGGTTGCTGGCTAGTCTACAGACTACACAATCTTTCTTACAACTGCTCTCCCTTCTCTCTCCCTCCCTTCTCTACCCTTTCCTTATTTTCTTCTCCCATGAGAGAGCATCTAGGGCACAGAGCTCAGCTTTAATATTCTCATTTCAGTGTTTGGTGACCATGAAAGGATCATTAATATCTGTAAATAATTTGCATCTCTATTTTCATAGAAAATTCATGGCATCTCCAAGCCAACATCACGTGTTTCTGTGATCTGAATTGTAAATTGAAGCAATAAGAGAAGAATATAAGTTTGAGGCCATTCTTTTGAAGGCCTGAAGTAACCAGCACACCAGGATTTCCCAGAAGTGGCAGTATGATTTTGATGCCGAAGCAGCTAAAAAAGTGGTGGACCCTTCACTGGGTCAACAGAACCAAGGTTTACACAGGGCCCAGTTTTATAAGTGTTGACTCTCTCTATTCTTACTTACATGCCACTGGGTATAATAATCAATGTCGGCAGGTTGGGGGTTTCTGTGCCAAAAGGAGTCCATTAGGTCATCTTTTCCCATCATATTTATAATGTAAAAAAGACTGTTGAAGTGATCAGATGTAGTTCCTCATCTTTCACTAGTGAAAACTGAGATCTGGAGAGATGAAGGGAATTTGTGAATGTCGAAAGTTCTGTGAGTGGCAGAGTTAGGATTTCCATCCCTCAAGGCCTCATTTTCCACTCCAGACTGTCCATGGAGAGGGGAGGAAACAAAAATGATGAGAGTTGTCCGTGACCCGTGAGCTAGCCTCCCCATGGCATCTCTGCAGGCAACTGGCTTGAAACAACTTTGTCAAGTATCCCCTTCCACCTTTGTCCTCTTTGGCCACCTTGAGGCCTGAGTGTCCTACCAGTGACCAATGTTGGGGTCACTTACTTTCACATTTTTATTCTTGCTTGTGATTGTCCAGAGTGGGCTCCTAATCTGTGCCTTATTTTTTCCCCATCTCCATTCCCATGAGCACAAATGATTCATTTATGAAACTCCAACCTTATCTAGGTGTAATGATGGTCTAGGGTGCAATCTACCTAATTGGCCAATGCAAAGCAGGAGGTGGCTGATGTGGGAGCCATCACTTTGAAATGCCTTTACCTTTATCTGTGGCTTTTACCTTTATCGCTGGCCATATACTCTTCTATCTCTGTTTCTCATAAAGCCTCTGTAAATGGATAATCACTAGTTTGTTTTGAACACAATATGCTTAAAGCTCAACCACTCTGAGTCTGTAATTTTTTTTCATTTTCTTTATGCCATAGAGAATTACATATCTTCTTTAAAACATCCACTGGGGGAAACACTTATGCTATAATCCTTTTAATAAGAGTAACCCATATTATTTTTAAATTGACTTTTTTTTAACAAGCATACGTTTTTAAAAATGTTTCAAAGATAGCACAGAGTGTGCCCAATACTCTTCATCCCATTTCCCCTAATAGGAACATCTTGTATAACTGTGTTGCATATGGTAAAACTAAAAATTGACATTGTCTCATTACTATTAACCAACAGTAATTGTGATAGCATTACTATCAACTGAACTTCAGACTTTCTTTGGATTTCATCCGTTTTTCCGGTGATGTCTTTTTTTTCCCATGCAAAGATGTAATCCGTGTTTCCACATTGCATTTAGTCATCACTTCTTAGTCTCTTATCTGTGACAGTTTCAACATCTTCCCTTATTTGACATGTTCTTGACAGTTCTGAAGAGCACTCATCAAGTATTTTGTAGAATGGCCCTCAATTTGGGTTTACTTGATATTTTTTCTCATGATTGGACTGAGTTGTGGGTTTATGGGAAAATGTCCCTGAGGGGAAATGCCCTTCTCATCATGTCATATCAGGACTGCATGATATCAACGCGACTTATCATTGGTGATGTTAAGCTTAATCACTTGCTTAAAGGTGTGTTTGTCAGGCTTTTCCACTGTAAACTTACAGTTTTCCCCTTTCCATGCTCTATTTGTTGGAAGTAAGTCACAAAGTTCATCCTACATTTAAAAGGAGGGAGAATTATAATGTTTTTAAAAATATTTTATTTATTTATTTTTAGAGATGGGAAGGGAGGGAGAAAGAGAGAGAGAGAGAAACATCAATGTGTGGTTGCCTCTCATGTGGCCCCCACTGGGGACCTGGCCCGCAACCTAGGCATGTGCCCTGACTGGGAATCGAACCTGTGATGCTTTGGTTCACAGCCTGCACTCAGTCCACTGAGCTACACCAGCCAGGGCGAGAATTATAATGTTTTAACATAGGTCATCTCTGCCTGTGAAGTCTCTTCATTTTGGACCCTAAGTGGCTCCACCACTGGATGGACCACATTCATTCTAGCAGATTCCAACTCCTCTTCTAAACACTCTCCTCTGTCTCTCATCTTGGGACCAACTCTCTAAAACTTCCCAATTTTCCTATATTCTTTTTCTCTTTTCTGCAGCATCACTATGGTTTCAATTGTCTTCATTGGAAACTCAGCATAGCCTATGATGGCTACTTTTTTCTCCTACCCTGTTTTCCCAAATTTTGAGTTGAAAGATGAGGTGTGTTGGGTTAGCAAGCTATTCATGAAAGCAAAATAAGCTAAATTTAAGCTTAATAGATAAACAGCATCACTGAGATACAGAGGTCCTTGGGGAAGGAGGCTCCCTTTTTGCTGATCTTCTTACATTTATCCCCTAACACATCGAATGGCACCACATACATACCCAGTGCATTTTTGTTGTCTGTAGAGGTATGTCCATGTAGGTTGCTATATACACATACCAATTTCTATATACCAAACACGCATAGAAAAAGCAAAGCACTAGGAAAACCAAAGCACTTCTTTTGCATCAGGACCTCCCAGCAGATGTGATAATTCAATTATCACCTGTTACCATTGATGAATGTACATTAACACATCATAATTACCCAAAGTCCATAGTTTACTGAAGTGTTCACCCCTGGTGGTATACATTCTACAGGTTTGGACAAATGTATATTGACATGTAGCCATCATTAAAAATATAAATAAATGTCTCCATAACAACTAAATATGAAAATAAGATCATGGCCAAAAACTTTGGCTTGCTTGCCCTTGTTATAGGATAACTCCAGGCAGAAGGTGCTCCCTGACCTTGGTGTTCTGGCTCGGGGCATCCGGAGCAAAGCAGAGGCCCTGACACGAGTTTGGATTATGCAGATAACCTCAGCAGAGTTGAAATTTTGATCAATGGTGATTTTTATCTCTGCATTAATTTGGGATTTTTCCAAAAGATAGATTAATTAAACCATACATCTTTACCAATTAGGTTTCTTCACCATTGGTAAATATAGTTATGAATTATTTGTAGGCATAGTTTGGATATTAGCAACCAACAAGTCTTCCACAAAGTAAGTTAGTTAGTGAATTAAAAATACCATGTGTGACTACAAGTAGCTGATCCCAAAGAACTGCTGAGTTGCGTTGCCATGTTTTAGCTTCATTATGCAAATAGGCATCCCAAGAGAGCCATCCCAAAGACGATTAGCCTCCCTCACCCTTAATAACCTCAGATCTCAGGTTCCTGATGTGTGCAGATGAAAATATGCTCTGCCTGTGGGTAAAGGTGTTATTAATGCATAATTCTTTAGCTTCTTTCCCCCTACACTGGAATTCTATTTTGGCAAACCTCTTGGGTTTGGTTGTCAAAGAGATAAAAGCCTGTGAGTACAGCAATAGACTCTTTAGTGAATCTTGGTAAGTTAGAGGCCAAGTTACTGTTCCGGGCCTGCTATCTTTATCTGTGAGCAATATTATGTCTCCCCTACCCTTTTGTACAGCCGATCATGTGCCTAATGCTCTAATACTGGAGCTCCTTGGGTTGGAAACCTTTTAAATGTGCCCCTTTGTTCCCATCTGTAGATGTGTCAAAATTGTCAGTTAGATTTCAGAGTCAGCCTCTGGTGCAGGAACAGCTGATTTACAGGGGATGTTAGTCTCAGGCAGATACTAGCCTTATCTGGGAGGAAGTCAGCCACAGTCCTTGGCAGGCTCAGAGAGAACATCACCATTTGATGGCTAGAATGGTCACTTCCAAAAATGAAATGCAATCTTATAGCCTTTTGAAGAGGTATTCACTTGGTGTGGGTGTCTGTTGACACTGAGAAGGTGTGATAATTCACAGGTCTGAAATAGTCACCATGGGTATTCCCAGAAGTTAATCATCAGTAGTTTCAACCTTGGAAAATTCAAGAACGCAGCCAATATAAATGACAGTTAACCCTGATAAGCAGGATTTTCCAGCATTGCTGATATGGGAGTTTAATGAAGTAATAACTTATAAAGAAAACAAATAAAAAATGTTGTTTGTTCGCCATTCTTTCTTTCTGGTCCTCCCTCCTTCATCCTGAATTCTGCTAGGTGTTCTCTGTCACAAGGAGGGTTTGAGGATAAGAAGGGAGACTGTCCAGGAAGGGCCCAAAAGGGAGAATCTCAGCTTCAACCTCTAGTGCATTTGGAATTTTCCTGGCAACTTGATTCATCTCCTGTTGGTAGCAATACATGGCAGAATGATGAATGAAAGGTGTGTTACTCGCGTGTGGCCTAAGTACTGAAAAAATGCCAAAAGACCAACAAAAAAATTTTCA